AAGTGGGGGGCAACGGGAGGGCCCTGAGGTCCCTGCAGAAGTGGGGGGCAACGGGAGGGCCCTGAGGTCCCTGCAGAAGTGGGGGGGCAACGGGAGGGCCCTGAGGTCCCTGCAGAAGTGGGGGGGGGCAACGGGAGGTCCCTGAGGTCCCTGCTGAAGTGGGGGGAGGCAATGGGAGGGCCCTGAGGTCCCTGCTGAAGTGGGGGGCAACGGGAGGGCCCTGAGGTCCCTGCAGAAGTGGGGGGGGCAACGGGAGGTCCCTGAGGTCCCTGCTGAAGTGGGGGGGGGGCAACGGAGGGCCTGAGGTCCCTGCTGAAGTGGGGGGGGGCAACGGGAGGGCCCTGAGGTCCCTGCTGAAGTGGGGGGGGCAACGGGAGGGCCTGAGGTCCTTGCTGAAGTGGGGGGCAACGGAGGGCCTGAGGTCCCTGCTGAAGTGGGGGGGGGGGCAACGGGAGGGCCTGAGGTGCCTGCTGAAGTGGGGGGCAATGGGAGGACCCTGAGGTCCCTGCAGAAGTGGGGGGCAATGGGAGGGACCTGAGGTCCCTGCAGAAGTGGGGGGCAACGGGAGGGCCGCAAGGTCCCTGCAGAAGTGGGGGGGCAACAGCAGGGCCCTGAGGTGCCTGCAGAAGTGGGGGGGGCAACGGGAGGGCCTGAGGTACCTGCGGAAGTGGGGGGGGCAACGAGAGGGCCTGAGGTCCCTGCTGAAGTGGGGGGGGGGCAACGGGAGGGCCGCGAGGTCCTGGGGCCCAGGCGGATGGCTAGGAGGAACCCACCTCCAAGTGGAGCTGGAGGAAGGGCTACACCCACCTGCTGATTCCCAAGCACAGGTGGGATCTGATAGTGGGGCTCCACCCCCAGCACCTTCACTGCGCTCCCTGGATCTGTAAGGACCTTCCCACTCACCATGAATGACAGGACCTCTGCTCTACAGCTGACTGGTGCAAGATCACCCCAAGTTACATGTTCCTCACAGTCGGAGTGGGATTTACCGTGCACATTAAGTCTTCAAAAACTATTCTCAGAATCAAAATTGCTTTCCTAGGTTTGGGCAGATTACAAATGAGTTTGAGTTTAGTGTTTCAAATGTCCTTACTATAAACCTGTTTGACTTATCATTATATTATTCTCTTCTTCTAATTGATAAAAAAAAAAGAAAAAAAAAGCCAACCTCTAAATTTGCAGTTTCTTCAAAACAGGAATTCCCTCAGATTTTGACTAATTCATATTTAGAGATTTTAAGTGACAGACTGCCAAGATTATTACATTAATAGAGATGGATTGCTTTAGAAATGTAAAGAGCTATTGATAGATAAATTATATTTATATTTGGTTACATGTTTGGAGAGAAAATTACATAAAATAATTAAACTGGAAGGATGAAGAAGAGTTAGACTTGATAAATCTAAGCTTACCTTACAGAAAACCAAAATTTCCTTTGTAACAGCAAAGTTTCAGAATCACATAAGACGTGGTATGGAAACTGTCTTCCCCAAATTATCAAATGATTTAATTATAATTTATTTTTCAGAAAAAAATGGCTCTATTCTTTTAACTGACCTGAAGTAAGGTGATTTTTTTTTCTTCAAAAGAGCATAATGAGAATTGAGAAGTTACACTCTGAAAATGAGAACAAACCCCTGTTTCTCGTTATGTTCCACATGCAGATTTTGAATTTTATGGGGTAGCAATTCATATTTTATCTAATAATAGAATCTGACGTGGCACAATGAATTAAATATTAACACATTTCTTTCCTAGATGTGGTATTTGAAATGTGACAAAATCCAACGTTAATTGGTTTAATCCAATAAGGAATTTGATATATTTGAGTCTGACAACACACATTGGAAAGCTGAACATAATTTTAAAATAATGCTATCCTATTAAAGAAAAGTCTGATTTTCTTAAAAAGAAAGTTTTTATATGCCAACCTACCAGGAAGGAGTTAAAAATGAGTGTGGAGATGAGTAGCCTAGACTTATCATTTATTTAGTTTATTTGTCCTCCATTTTCATGAGGAACTACTTTGAACGCCTCCAGAAGAGGAAGGGAGGGCACTGCCCTGGTAAGAAGAAGGACCTGTCAGAGCCCCAGCTCTGGAGGGGGATCCTGGCTCTGAGGGGCTGTGGGCAGCCACAGCAGCTGGCTGGTAGGGGTCACTCAGTAACAAGAGTGATAAGAAACCACCAAGTCACCTGGACACACCTTCTGAAGTCCCCAGCTCTGAGGTTAAGGAGTTACAGTTAAAGGAGGCTTGGTGGGTTCAAGGTGTGTGCTCAGAATCACGTGCCCCACATTCTTAACCTATGAAATGCAGATAGCCAGGTCTTTCTTTTGCAGGACATTTAATGAATAAATTAGACCAAACTTTACAAGGAATATTATTAGATTGGGTGCATTTAGTCAAAATGACATCAATCAATCAGTCATATGGGCCATATAAGGAGCAGATCTGGATGACTCTGATTTATTTTTTCTTTGCAAACGGTCTTCTGATTAGGTAAAGGCAGATGTCTTGCGCATTTTGGGGAAAAATGAATCCAGGAATAAGAAGTGGCAATTATTTCATGCTTATTATATATCAGGTGCTATACATGCTCAAAAGAGTTTGATCCTGACAATAACCCTGCCAGGGAAACTTTGTAACCCCCATATTTACAGAGGAGGAAGAAGATCCTAAGAGAATAAATAACTTCCCAAGTTCACACAGCCCAGAGTTATGAAGTGGCTGTGTGGGAAACCATGCCCAAGACTTCTGGCTAGGAAGCCTCTCTTCCCCCCACATCTGAGTCTGTTCAGATTCACAACACTTAAGAAATAACCAGGCTTTGTGTCAGTGTGGCCTTGGGCAGCATGATGTCACTGGCACCCAACTACAGGAACTCGGGCCACTCTGCTCGCTTGAAAGCGCTGTCTTCTTCAGCTATGCACGCAGCCCGGGACACAGGGAAAAAGGCAGTCTCCCAACAGATCCAAATTGCAGGCTTGTATTTGTCACAGGCTCTGCCACTCCCAGCCATCTCTAGGGACACATCTCCGTCTGTTTCTTTCAGCCCTCTTTATACTCTAGACTATTTCAGGATTGTTCTCATCTCGATTTTATGTGCACGCAGCACCAGTGTCCTCCACTGTGGCTGGCTCAGGCCTGTGCTGCCCGTCACTGTGGCATGATGGACAGAGTGCCAGCAGGAACCGAGGACCATGGTGGGCTACCGCAGGCTGACTCCAACATCATCAGAGGGTTCCAGGACTAAGGAGGCTCTCAGGAAATGCACTCTGGATTAATATTCAAAAGACATTGGGTTTTTTTTTACCACATGATTGATAAAGCATAATGCACCAATTAATAAAACTGCCCAGGAAATGGGATGAGTGGGCAGATAGCATCTTTGAGGTGAAACAAACAGGGATTTTCTGTTAGAGGAATCCGTTAACCATAATCAAAAGAATGCCTCCTTCACTATCTACCTGTGTCCTTCCCAAGTGTGGCCAGAGCGTTTACTGCTCTTCTGCTGAGGTTTGCTCATTTCCAATGGGCGCCTCTGACCTGCCCAGCCTACACACCCAGGACCTTCCTCTGTGAATTCCACTGCACAGTGCACCCCGGCCACTCACTCACTCAGGGCCTCCTAAGCACACCCGGGTTCCCCTCTGTGCATCCTCCTGAGGACAGTCTGTGGCTTGGATGGCCTCCTGCTTCCCCACCCATTCTCACCTCTCCCCTCTCCTGTGGTCAATGAGACACTGTCTGCAGTCCTCAGCGCTCCCAGGGCCACCAGCATCTGGTGTCTGTGCGTGAGCCCAGGGCAGGAGCCATCGAGCCTGTCACTGCCGTGCTGTATGCTCTCCCGGGCAAATTATGCTTGAGGGTTTTAACAAGCGTCTCAGTCTTTTCTTTTTAATGTATTGATTCTTTCATAAGATAGTGGAAATTCTGATTTAAAGGTGTTGAAATATACTACAATGGTTTTAAAACCATTCTACCCCTCAAACAAACTAAAATGCGAGGGAAATATGTTGATCTGGCTACGCTGACGACCAGGCGGGTTTCCGCAGCAGGGTTGATTCTCTAGGACTGAGATGTTGGGTGCAGGGACTCCTTCTCCCTCCAACACCCACCTACTCCTTCTTCCGGGCCTTGAACCCAAGACAGCAGACCTGCCTTCCCATCGCTACTCACCTGTGACTTTATTTTTCACTTATTTGCTTTTCAGTGCTGCGGATGGAACCCAGGGCCTCGTAGGTGTTAGGCAAGTGCTTTTCCACTGAGCTGTGCCTGGGTCTCAAGGTCACTGTCTTCATCTACCCTCCCTGATGCACTACTCCCTCAGTTCTTCCCATCTCCCCTGTATGACATGGTACCTGCCTCACCCTCCGCTGGACAGCAGGCCCCTCAAAGCAGGGTCTCAGTAATTCTTTTATCCTCAGCAGTTAGCTCTGTGCCTGGCACGTAACAGGTGCTCAGCAAGCACTGGTTAAGCCACAGGTGCCCTTGGGAGAGTGGACGTTACCAAGACCACACTTCATCGTTACATGGCTCTGTGAGCAAGAGTCACCCAGTGCAAGATGGTCCTTCATTTCAAAGGGACCTTAGAGAAGCACTTGGGGACTTGGGTGACAGCCCTTCCATGCAGAGAGTGGTGAGGGGAGAGATGGAGGCTGAATGGATGGAAGGGTGCCCCGTGCCAGCGGGGGCAAGACCGAGTCTCATCAGAGTCCCAGGGTGTGCAGCGTGGGTTCCAGTCCTGGAGATCTGTCCACTCTAACACCCTACAGAGTTGGGTTCAAGGGCAGAAGGGCCTACTTGTACTTGGGTGAAACGAGAAGAGTATAACACGGTATGACCGAGGTGAGCGTGGTGTCCACGGGGAGACCAGCCTGGGTGTCTCTCCGTCTGGGTCCAGGGCTGGTCCCATTGCATAGCAGAGTGGTGCTCAGGGCCACTTAGAGTGTCGTAAAACATTGAGGGATTCCAAGGAGTTTTTGTCTGTGTACATTACTTCTATCATAATTCAATCTATTTTTAATTACAATAGAAATCTTTAAAATATTTATCAATCATTCCAAAGCAACTCCACTAACCAACTACATGTTAACAGAAATAACATCATCCTCTAAAAAATAAATTTTACAAAGAAATCAGTTCAGGGAGAAAAGTGGCCTGTTTTTCATTTCTGTAACCCTCCTCAATGTCCGGCTTCACAGACTGAAGCTGCTCTCCTGGCATTTCTGTACTCAATCCGCTGCTCTCTGTTGTTTTGTTTGAAGTAAACGAGGAAATCCTGGTTTTGAACAGATATACAGTTGAAAAATGGAGAGGCATTTTAGCAACTTTTCCAAACAATTCTGGATATTACTCTTCAGTGTTACACCAAAACTCAACAAGTGGCCGTTTCTCAAACCTTGTGACAGCAATGGGGCATATGAAACCTCCTCGTCAGCTTTTCTTACTGTGCTATGCTGAGATCTGTTGGTCTATCTTGCCCTTTGAATGGATTTTTGATTGACGCAGAGCTTTATAACACCACGTATTACTAATCATTTGAAAATGCTGTTTTGCCATGTCATGCAAATCTTTCATATGGTAATACTTTTTACTGTACAATGTCTAAAACCACATTAAGTGGAATGATCAGACTTTAGGAGAGAAGACTGTATTGGGAAGCTCGGTGGCAGATACAAGTTCTCTAAATTCTGCTTATAATTGTTTTTACTGAAAATACATATTGCAGGTGGTTTACCTTGAAACACAGGCTAATTCCATTCATTTAGAAAAAAAAAATCTGCCAATGTAGAGCCTGAAGAAGCACAGTAGTCAGCTGTGTCTCAAGTAATGGGCAAAGCATGTTCATGAGGCCAGCAGCCAGCCCAGCCCCCAGCTAGGCTGCCCCAGGACTGGTTCAGGACTACGCTGCGCACCCTGGCACGTAAGGACAGCTCTGTACGCCCACATTTTGCCACAGAGAACAATTAAAAGTCACAGGCGAGGGCTAAAATTTAATTAAATAATTTTTATTGCTTCATCAAAGACGTTCCTAAGTGGACCTGACATTTGTGGCAGTAAAAAATAAAACAACAATGAGGACAGCCTAGTGCCACTGCTTGATCTAGCCAAGGTGCCGGCCGCTTTCCCACCAGCGTTTTTGTACCATTAGTGCAAATGTCAACACAGTATTTTTTTTTTAAAGGCAAGCTAATGTCTCAGAATTCAGTCAAAAACAGCTCTGGCCTTGCAGACCTCCCAGGAAAGCCAGCTCTGAGGAGCCCCAGGGGTCTGTGGACCACACGGGAGGCCGGCTGCAGGCTGGCACTGGAAGGCCTCCTAAACAGCCCAAGATCGCATTCTTAACCTTTTAATCATTGTGGACTGGCTTTTCCTATTGAGTGAATATCTGTGCCTCTCCTCGTTTAAAAAGCAAATTCCCATATAAGTAGAACGTGCCCCGCACTTGCATAGTTCTGTTATCCAATGCTACAAAATCAGTAAATCAGTTATAGTTGGTTCCATTTTTATTTGAAAAACCCTGATGCTCAGAGAAGTTTTGTCCTATGGCAAATAATTGTCAGACTCTAGGATTATAAGTCTGTCTGGCTAAATATCCAAGTGCTGTCTGATGCCCCTTTAAATACCCCAAGGACACATGTTTTAAATAGTCAATGCCACTGGTTCACCAGTGGCCCATTTTTTGAAAAGAAAAACAGGGTACATTGATACATGCAAATCCTGATTTGAAATCACGGACATTTTGTTCTGTTTTGTTTTAGGAATTCTCGTGAATGTCCCCTTTACGGAGCTCTTTCAAGACCTGTCCATAGACGCAGGTCTGTGGTTCATGAGTGATTCAGAGCCATAGGCCGCAGCTTCTTCCTGGTGGCAATCCACAGTCACTGGTTTATGTGAACTCTACCAACACTGTGACCCTCATGGGTGGACTGAGGCCCTGCTGTCCTGAGGAGAGAACTGACCTCTGAGAACTCGACCAGCCCCACTCTGCTTTGGCCTTTGGGCCTCCCTCTCCACTGCTCCTCCCTAGGCACCAGGTAACCCAGACCAGGTGACTCAAGAGAAGCCAGCAGGAGGTGTCTACCATGCTACAGTGCTCTCCTTGCACGCCTCTCCCTCAGGGCCAGACTGCGAGGTCTGTGAGTTCACAGCCTCTGTCCCCAGGACCCCAGGCCTCTGCCCTACCATCTGCTCCTTCACACCCCGCCCACATGAACTAGGGCCACCAGGCCAGGCTCCCGGGGACACTGATCTGCCCGCCGTGTTAGCACTGCCCGCTCCGGCCTTCACCTCTATCTTTCACAGCCCTCTTCCCCTTCAGGTGCCCAGCATCTGTGCCCATCCCCTGGTCCTCCCTCCCGGCCTGCCTTCCTCCTCTCCCTGACTGTGCAAGCACCTGCGTGCTGAGGCCTCCTGAGGTCCCTTCCCTCTTGGGCCCTCTCTCCAGGAACTCCTCTCTGGCTACCAACCCCAGGGCCACCTGCAGACATCACAGGGGCACCCCAGAGCTGCACACTCTGCTCCCAGGTCTGCCTTCTGTGGGGCGCTTCTCCTGGTACCTGCACCATCGCCTGCCTCCTGCCCAGCCAGAAAACAGAGTCCCCTGGACGCCCCCTCCCTGCACCCCCTGCTGGGCCGTGAGCACCAGCCCTGGCACTTCCACTTCCTAAACATCTCTGGGACTGTCCCAGCTCCCAGGTGGCACTTCTGCTTCCTTCAGACCTTTTTCCTCTGAAAATGACCTCCTCTCCCATCTTTCTTCCACCGGGGTATCAGAGTAAATGTCCTAAAACATATCAATATAAACATAAAGACAAATATAAAATGAGTATCAATATAAACAATATAAAGATAACACTTTAAAACCTCAAGATCTGTCCTTGCCCAAACCTTGCCCAAACCTCCAACACCTTCAGAGAAGTGCTGGCTCTCAGGGCCACCAAGCCTGCTGTGGTCTGGCTTCTCCCTCACCTGCAGTGCACTCCTACCTAGCTTCTCTCAGTTCCCAGGACACACCTAGCACTCTGACCCTCCCCACCCTCTGACTTGTTTCTCCGTGGAATGCTCCACCCCTCCCCATCTTCTTTTGCTTGGAATTCTCCGGCTGCTCCACAGCTCTATGCCAAAACCCTACCACCTTTACCAGAGCACCTTAGGCAGGGAATTGCCTGCTTCCTCTTCCAGGACCCTGAACAAAGATGTATCATGGTGCTAATCACACTTTCATTTATGCCTGTCTCCACACTTTGGTGTGAGTTCTTTAAAGGTGGACACCATGTCTTACCTTTAAATCTCAGCACTTGAGACCTACCTGGTACATAGAGAAATTTAATGTGTGTTAATGAAGGAATGGGTGACCTGCTCTGGGTCATGTCTCAAGAGGTCACTTCTACAGATGTGAGGGGAGATCCAGGGCTGCTTTTACCCACCTCGTGTGCAAAAGATAAGCTTGCTGTGATCTCAAATGTGCCTTTTAGTCTTTAAAACCATTTTGTGGCACTTATACAGTTTCATAAATCTACATATGGCAGTATTCTCATGTAGTAGCCATGAAACTTTAGCAGCTGAATTGGACTGTCCTGTGACCAGGCATTTAAAGGTACTTAACAAAAAGATCATAGTTAATAAGTAGTGTGATCTCAGTGAGGTTGATTTCCATCTTATTTATCTTCATTTTACCAACAAAATGAGAAGAGGGAAGGTGTTTTTCATGCTTTCAATATAGACACTATATTTTAATAAACAGCATATTCTTAGAACTTAACACGCCCCAAACTGCAGTTTAAAAAATATATATATCAGGTCTGCTAGAAACTAGACTCACAACTGCCAAAATGAGTTCACTGAATCACTGGGTACACACACCCCCCCGCCCCCCACGTTTTTCCAAGGCTCTGGCCAGGTTGCTAATTAGGTAACTTCTAATCCTAATTACCTAGTCAGCCTTAATGGCTTCACACACTGCTCGCTGGTCCTGTAGGGCTGCTTTTCAATTGTTAAAACAGCTGCTGCGTTTCCACCGGAGGAGGCTGGTCTGCGCCGAGGGGGAAGCGGTCCCGAGCGCTCTGCGGTCCGCAGCCTTTCTGTGGAAAGTGGGCCACGAATGCACAGTTTGCACACTCGCGTTCCGCCTCCGTCCAACCTCCAACCTTCTGGATTCAACCCGCTTCCCCACCCCGCCCCCAAGCCAACCCCAGAGCTCCCCTCTATTGTGCACCCCGTCTCCCTGACTGGGAGGGTCCCGCGCGCACGTCCTGCTGGATTCCGCAGCTTCGCTAGGGTCTGGAAGGCCTCCCTCTACGCCCCCGGGTGGAGAGCAGGCAAGGACAGCGAAGTGTCCCCCATGCCGCCCGCGAGCCTCCAGTGAGAGCGCTGGGTCGCTGGGCGGGGTGTGTGGGAGACAGAGGGAAAGAGGAGAGAGAGAGAGAGAGAGAGAGAGAGAGAGAGAGAGAGAGAGAGAGAGAGAGAGAGAGAGAGAGAGAGAGAGGAGAGAGAGAGAGAGAGAGAGAGAGAGAGAGAGAGAGAGAGAGAGAGAGAGAGAGAGAGAGAGAGAGATCGTGTGTGTGTGTGTGTGTGTACGCGCGCGCGCACGCTGGCGCGCAGCGGGAGGGAGGGAGAGGGGGACGGAGGGGGAGGCGGCGGGCAGAGCGGGGAGGGGGCGGGCGGGCAGCCGGGCGGGAGGCGGGGAGGCTCCGGCTTGAGCAGTGACACTCCGGAGTGCACACACAATCCCCGCTCGAGCCCCAGAGAGCGGAGCGCGGAGCCGGGCACCGGCCGCGTTCTTCCCCTCGCCGTGCGCCTGGCGCCCAGGGCCAGCGGCCGCCCGCAGACCCGCCCGCGCCGCGGCATCCTCCCGCACCCGGCCCGCACGCGCCGCGCCTCTTGGCCGCTTCCCGGCTCTGCCCGGTCCCCGGCCCGCGCCGCTGCTGCTCCACTTCGCAGCAACTTCGGCGGCCGCGCGCCGCTTGCTTTTCGCCAGCGTTTGAAGTTAGCGGCGCTGGCCGCAAAGTTGGGACCCTGCGGCCGGCTGATTTTCCTCTCATCTGCTTCCGCCCCTGCCCTCCCGTCCCCTCGGTTCCTGGACACGGCGCTTAGCGTCTTGGCCGGAGCCGGGACGTGGACCGTTCCGTCAGCCGCACCTCGGGGTGGGACCTTTTCTCTTCCCCACTGGAAAGGCAAACCGACTTCTTGAAGGTAAGCGCCAAAGGAGGGCCACCCCGTTCCGGACGCCTTAGCCCGCCACCCCAGTACTGGCACAACGGCGTTCACTCCCTGGGCTCAGCCGGGGTCCGAGGTGGAGGCGCGCGCCCCAAGCTAGGAAGGGCCCAGCGAGGTCCCGGGGACGCCCGACCCAGAAGAGTAGCGGGCACGAGGGGCGTGCAGCAGGTCGTACTCGGTTCTTCTGGTTTCGTGGCGGGGCGGCTCCGGAGGGTGAGGAGGTGGAGGGAGAGCGCACGGGCCGGGAGCTCTGGGAGCCGCGTACCGGGGCGGTGGAGTCCGGGAAGCCGCAGAGCCTCCATCCCGGCTCGGCCCGGACGCTCTGCCCTCCTGCGGGACAGGCTGTCGCCTCTCTCGCAGGACTCACGCCAGTTGTCGCCGCCAGAGAAGGTCAGCAGGACCCGGCTGTGGGGGCGCCCGCGCGGGGGGCGAGGAGCGAAGGGTCCCGCCGCGCGAGGCGCTCCCGCTCGGCCTTCCCGGGGACCCCGCTCGGCTGGGCGTTTGTCCTCTGCGTGGCTGGCGAGCACCGTTAGGGAAACCGAGCGGGGCGGCCGGGTTGGCTGTCCTGTGACTCAGGGCAGAGCGCCACTGAGGGGACGTCCTCCCGCCGGGCCACCGGCGTCGCGCCCTCGCCCCGTCTGTGCGCGAGTGGGGTTCGCCCCGGCCTGCGCCTGCTTTTCTCGGTGCTGAGCTTCGCCGCAGTCCCAGCCGGAATGCGTGGCTTCGGATTCCCGCTGCTTTGGGGGTACTTCGCAACTGATGGATTTGGGGTGCGAGCTGTCTGCACGCCGCCCAGACCGAGGCGACAGCCCCTCGGTGTCCCGCAGCGGCTGCGCCGGGCCGCCGAGACCAGGGAGTCCTCGGGCACCTCCGCGGGGCGCTGGGCTGGCGCGCGCCCGGGTCGCGTTCCCCTCCGGCCCCCTTCGGGGCGCTGTCCATCTCCTGCTCCGGGATGTCCGGCTCCCAGAAAGCTAGACCTTGAGCGGGAAATGAACCTGAGCAAATGTCTGGTTTTGTTTCTTGGAGTTCTTTTTAGCAACTTGGGTTGGTAAAGCTGTTTACTTCTCATCTTTCGGCCCCACTGGATCACAATGGAGAATTAATTTTTTCATTTGTCTTGCTGATCTCACCAAACACTGCCCGCTCTCCCCGCCCTCCTCCTGACCTCGCTTCCTGAACCCTTTTTCTTTTGGGAGGAGGGAATCTCCCACCTCCTCCTCCCTCCTCCTCCTCCCAGGTCCAGGGCGCCCGTGAGAACCAGGGGAGTCGTCAATGGAAGTAAATAAGACCCGCTCTTCTCCGCCCCCTTCAAACAAGAGAAGTCCTCCCTGGCTCCTAGAGGTAGAGATAAAACATCTCTCCCGAGGGAGCGGAGTGGAGGACTTGGTGGGTTGAATTGTTTTATTATCCTGAAAGAAGTGATGGATGGATGGGAGGGGCGCGATGGTGTGGAGCAGGGTGCTGAGGGCGACCGGTATTTATTATTATTAATTATGTTTATTAAGAGCGATAATAAGGCCATAACCCTAGCTAAGGACTGTGTTTACACTTGGTTTGATTTTATGTCAATCTCTTATTACCGTGGCTTCAGAAAGTGAAAACACCAAACGGAATTAATTCCTCACACTCACTCTGCATATGGGATTCATCAAACCCCCCAAAGATACTGTCATTTACCAAAGTTTCAATCCGTGAACTTTTAGAAGGTTGTAGTCTTATGAAATGTCATTTACCTTCCTCTGCCTTCTTAAAGTTTTTAAAAAAATTCTCAACATAATTAATTATGGTCCCAATTCCCATTTTCAATCTAAACCTATATTTCAGGATTACATTAAAATATCCCATCATTGTTCTCTAAAAGTGATGCTTATGAGTTTAAATTCCTAGTTGGGGGAGGGGGACAACTGGGAATGAGGGGCCCAGAAGTTAGAGATTAGTACTATTTCAAATTTCTCTCAAAAACCTCTTGCTTCTTCCTTTAAAGAAAGACATTCCGGGCTCCTTCTCTCCACAGTGCCGAGCTCCGTGAACGTCCTTAATCTTTTCCACACACTGAAGCATAACAGCTTGCAGCCTTGTCCCCGTTATTGTTTTCATGTTTGTGTCAGGATGTTTTATTCATTAAACCTGTATGTCAAAGGCTGAGGCTCGGCGTGGCATAACGCTCTGTTTTAATTAGTAACTATCATAAAAAAGAAGCTGTGACTCTGTAATGGGTCTAAATTGCTATGAATTATGTGTGGTTTAAATTACGCATTCGTTTCAGCAGAAATGAAACCACGAATATAAAACATCTTTTAATCACTTGCAGATACAGCTTTTATCTCTGAAGACGTAACAAAATATATAATTGAAAAATACCCTCCAATGAAGGAGGGAAGCCCCCGCCCTTGGTTGTTTGCCCTGGGTCTTATTAGCACTCTGTGGTAAAGCATGGATGTTGAAGAGGAACGACCACATCACCAGCTTGCCCAGACCCTGCCAGGGTCTGCATCAGAACTCGAGCTGTGGGTCAGTCTTCAGATGACCGTGGAGAGGCGTCGTCAGTGGCATCCTGAGCCTGGCAGTTCAGACCTAAGTTTTCTCACTTGAATTCTTCCACCAGACCCTGCATAGGAAGGGAAAATGTGTTTTAGAACTTTAACTAATTGTTTGAGATGAAGGAGAGAGACAGAACTGGAGTGAACACAGAGTGGCCTTATTGCTGTCGCGGTTGGTGCTATTCAGCCTACTCAGAGAGCAGAATTTTTTTAAAAAAGCACAATAGTCTTGTTGCCATCCTTATTAGAAGAAAGGTCTTTTCCATCTGGGTGTGCTGGATGGTCGCTGGGGATGGGGTGGTGTGCCTGAACCACAGCACAGGAGCCGATGGAGGAGGGCTCAGTCTCCCTTCCTTAGTCTCCCAGATGGGGCGGTTGATTCCAGTGACCAAGCCCTGTGTCCCCAACCTTCCTGCTCCCTGTCTCCCTGTCTCTCTTGCCTTGGAGAACCCTGCGCCAGCAGGGACAGCTGGTTGAGTAAGGAACCTGGCCACCCGCTAGTCACCAGGAAGAAGATGCGTGGCTGGACCTTCTGTGTCAAGCCGCAGGCAGGCAGAACATGCAGCCGGCTCAGCTTGCTCATTTGACCTTGAAATAATTTCTAAAACCTTGAAGTGTTTATTTTGGAATGATTGTTGTGAGGAACATAACTTATCCTTACCCTGTTGGTCCCCAACCATGTAGTAGAAACCACAGCACCTTTGAATAGTTACAAGTAAACCGTAACAAATTGTTGCTTTGAAAACTGATTTCAAAATCCAACTCCTCCAGTATTTAAATACTCCCTTCAAGAATATGCTGTATTTATGCAGCAAAGCAGGGCACATTCCACTTTTTTTTTTTGCTCTATATTGCAAATGGAAAATGAAACCACGCGAGGGTGTGTGCAGTTGTACTTGGATGTCGCTTTCCACCAAGGAAGAAGAGAGAAGGCTTCACTGCTGTTGTTAACAGATAATCACATGGTGGGACCTGAAACACAAGACTGCTGAGATCCTGTTGTGTCACGTAGTTGACCATAAATCCCATTATATTTTTTTGGGAAAATCACCCCATTTCAGTGTGCTCTGTGTGTGTTCAAGTGTGTGCAGATTCATGAGTCCTGGAATTTGCTGTTCCAGAGCCCACAGGGCCCGAGCCAGTGCCAAAAGCAGGTATATTCTTGGGTACTCACTTCCTGAACACAAAACCCAAAGATGCATGCCTTCCCTGTTCCTTTTGTGTTTTACTAAAAACTGAAAACCAAAAATCCACGAATTTTAGTTCTTTGAAGTACTTAGAAAATAGGAAATGTATGTAGTAATATAAATTCTGTCAAGATTTTTCTAAAAGTTATTTTGCATTTAAAAAATTAAGGGTAAAGAATGTGAATAAAAGTAAACTAGCAATACAGCAACACATTTCCTTAGATTTTCCCTGTGGGCTGAAGAGATAGACCTGACCACAAACAGCTGGGTGCTGGGTCCTGATATGGTGCCAGTTGTTTAAAGAACTCACTAAGCTCGATTTGATCTAAACTTCTCTCTGAATTCTACAAGCCTCCCGTTCATGGGAAAGCTATGGGAACTGTCCCTAGTTCACATGTCACTGTCCTTAAGTAACTTCCTGATCCTTCTGAAACAGATTTATTTTAGTAAGCTGGTAAATAGCTCTTGGCTTTTGTTT